CGCTCCGAGGCGGAGCTGCAGCAGCTGCGCCAAGCGGCCAACGTGCGCGAGCGGCGGCGCATGCAGTCCATCAACGACGCCTTCGAGGGTCTGCGCTCGCACATCCCCACGCTGCCCTACGAGAAGCGCCTCTCCAAGGTGGACACGCTGCGCCTGGCCATCGGCTACATCAACTTCCTCAGCGAGCTCGTGCAGGCCGACCTGCCGCTGCGCGGGGGCGCCGCGGGCGGCTGCGGGGGCCCAGGCGGTGGCGGGCGCCTGGGCGTGGACAGCCCGGGCAGTCAGGCCCAGAAGGTGATCATCTGCCATCGGGGGACCCGTAAGTGCCTCTGGGTCCCAGCTTAGGGAGGCGGGGACGGTCAGGGGAAGGTGTCCCACCCCCACCCCCAGGGATTGGGTGTAAAGACTGACCACTGGTCAACGGAAGCAGGGACTGTCAGGGGTACAGAGCAGAAGCTGCCCCGTGCGCGCCCGCCCGGCTTGGGTCACAGTGTCCCGGAAAACTAGAACAGTGCCCTCTCCGCCGGTTTTCGGCACACTGGCCCGAGCTGAGGAAGAGAGATGGAAGGGTAACCTGAAGAAGCCTGCTCGGTTGGGGTGCGCTTGAGAGAGGGCTCCAAGGACTGGTTGGGCCCGCTGGGAATGTGATTGGCCATTCACCACCTGTTTTCTCTTCCTCCCACCCTCTAGGATCCCCCTCCCCCAGTGACCCAGATTTTGGCCTCCCTCCCCTTGCTGGACACTCTCTCTCTTGGACCGACGAAAAACAACTCAAGGAACAGAATATTATTCGCACAGCCAAAGTGTGGACCCCAGAGGACCCCCGGAAACTTAGCGGCAAATCTTCTTTCAACAATATAGAAAACGAGCCTCCCTTTGAGTTTGTGTCCTGATGAAGCCCCGGCTTGGGGGCGCGCCTGTGCAGATTGTACCTTCGGCTCTTTACAAGGAGAAACCATGTCATTTAAGGATCAGAGTTTTCTAATGGCAATCAACTGTTCGTTATTTATGTATTTATTATCCCGCGGAGGCAATGGAATAGATGATCGGTTTAAGTATCTAATTTATATAACTTATCCTGATTTCCTAAAAACAATATGCAATATAGCCTGTGGACCCCACAGCACCTTAGGCAGAACTCTCCGTTGTGGGAAGAATTCTGGCCAGAAAAAATGTCATGCTAATTTATTGCCAGATATGATTCTATGTGTTGTTAATAAATGCTGTTTACACCTTTTTTCCCTAAAACGCATTTGTGTGATTTGCATAAGAAATAACTGAATAAGACTCTAATCATAGTTACCTAATAAGAAGTCACATTTTTAGTTCCGATTAGATTGAAAGAGGGTGGGGGGGGGTGAGAGGTTTAGGCCTCAACTCTACCAGCACCCTTCATTACATCTAAGGTCTTTTGCGTGGCTTTTTTTGGCGTGGCTTTTTACCGCACGCTCCAAACATCCAACGACGCAAACAGATCTATATTCCCATCTTCCAGAGGTGAAAACTGAGGGCTCCCTGCTCTGTCTTAACCTAGTTGGGGGAAGTGAAAGTGCTTTGGGGCAGTGGGGAGTGTGGCGGTGGGATGGGGGTAGGGGTCCTAGTTTCTGACCTGGTTCAGGGAAAAAGGTCTTTCTGCTTCCACAGGCTAAGGAGGAAGGGTTGCTTCCCCAGCTCCCAGGGGATCGGTCCTTTCTACAGTTTAAGGCATCGGGCACTTGGGAAATTCAGATATACCCCTCCCCCAGGGCAGTGCTGAGGCTGAAAAAGGACTAGGATGCCTTCCAGCAAAGTCCAGAAGCTGTTAGGTAAGACCACAAAGAACGTATCCCCTTCCTATACTGCAACTGGGCTGCTTCCTTTCCAACCGCGTCGCATGCTCCCTGGTAAACCGCGCTGTGAGAAGGCGAGCCTCACGCGGCGCGCTCAAGCTCGCCCCCTAGCGAGGACCAGAGGCTCGAGGGCGCGCCCAGGACCTGGAGGCTGCAAGACCCATCCAGCACCCCTGCGCTCCCGCTCGGGTTCGACGCCGACCTCAGCGCGGCTTCCCACACCCTCAGGAGCCCTCGCCAGGCCCAGCGCGCGCCCTGACGCGCCACAGGCCGCGCGTCCAGGTGCGCACTTCCCGGTGAATTACGCGGGTCCCCGCCAGGACTCGGACCTGTCCCTCAATGAGGTGTTGGCGCTACAGTCTGGAATGCTGGGTGCTGGCAGGACTCACCTCCAGTACGCACAGCCTGGCCGAAGGAGAGCATGTTGGCAGACGCTAATTGCTTTAACCTAGTTTCAGACCCACTGAGGGGTGCCCCGCGCGCCGCGGGGGGCCATGGACGTCTTCCAAGAGCAATTAAAGGGAGGCCAGAGTCCAGCCCTGCTGCAAGTTCTGGCCAGACACGCGGGCGTTGATTCTGGGTCTGGAAGCTCCCAGGAGTCCCCGGCCTTGGATCCTGCCCACCCACGCCTTGCAGACTGCTGGCCTCTCCCCTGACCTCCCCCTAAAAGAGGGGGATTTCACACTGGCGACAGAATCTGAGCATCAGAGGCAAAAAAAAAAAAAATTCTATTTTGTTCCATATGTAAAAGCCCTCCAGTGGATTCCAACTCACAGCAGACCCTATAGGACACAGCAGAAGTGCCTCTGTGGGTTGTTGCCAAGGCTGCTTACGGAAGCAGGCTGCCTGCCAGGGCTCTCTCCCGCTGCCCAGCTCGAACCACCCACCTTCTGATACACAGCCCAGCACATTCATCACTGTGCCACCATAGTAGGATCTGGTTAACCGTGAACGTCAGGCGCGTGATCTCATTACACCCATTAGAAAGTCAAACGTTTGGCAGATTTCACCTTAATTATAAACTGTGGATGTATTGTAGCATTTACTCTGGCCGCGTAGACCTGTGTCTCAATTGGATCCCGTAAAGGGCCACTCGGCAGTTAAAACACTACAATCATTGTGGTGTGGCACCTTTTCTTTTGCTTGCCACTGTGTGTGTGTGTGTGTGTGTGTGTGTGTGTGTGTGTGTGTGTGTGTGTGATTCAATGGTTCAACACATCCTTTAGTGCTGTGCAGATGAAGCGGAAGAGCCGGGCAGAGCATGGAAAACACCCGGGTCTCTATCTTGTCACTCTTCTGTCCCCACTTGGCAAGTCCCTTTAAACACAACCTTCAAAGAGACTGACAGCTTCTTTCTATTTCCTCATAATCCATTCATTCTAGTGTATCCATTCTTTCTTAAAAAAAAAAACAACCGCAACAGTAAAAGCCCAGGAGTCCCCTTCAGCTGGGGGTGGGGGTGGGGGTGGGCAGCTAACTGCACTGGGTGCTGGAGCAGCTCTGGTAGCAGCACCAGGCTGGAAGTTCCTCTGGCCTGGGGCATCTCTGGCCAGTCATTGCAGCT